CATGAACATATCTCCCCAGGAAAGGTAAACAAAAGCAAAAATGAACAAGTGGGACTATAACAAGCTGAAAAGCTTCTGTACAGCAAAGGACACCATCAATAGAACAAAAAGTTTCCCTACAGTATGGAGAATATATTCATAAATGACAGATCCGATAAAGGGTTGACATCCAAAATATATAAAGAGCTCATGCACCTCAACAAACAAAAAGCAAATAATCCAATTAAAAAATGGGCAGAGGAGCTGAACAGACACTTCTCCGAAGAAGAAATTCAGATGGCCAACAGACACATGAAAAGATGCTCCACATCGCTAGTCATCAGAGAAATGCAAACTAAAACCACAATGAGATATCACCTCACACTAGTAAGAATTGCCACCATCCAAAAGACAAACAACAAATGTTGGCGAGGTTGTGGAGAAAGGGGAACCCTCCTACACTGCTGTTGGGAATATAAGCTAGTTCAACCATTGTGGAAAGCAATATGGAGGTTTCTCAAAAAACTAAAGATAGAAATACCATTTGACCTGGGAATCCCGCTCCTTGGAATTTACCCAAAGAATACAACTTCTCAGATTCAAAAAGACATATGCACCCCTATGTTTATTGCAGCACTATTTACAATAGCCAAGATATGGAAGCAACCTAAGTGTCTGTCAGTAGATGAATGGATAAAGAAGATGTGGTACATATGCACAATGGAGTACTATTTAGCCATAAGAAAGAAACAGATCCTACCATTTGCAACAAGATGGGTGGAGCTGGAGGATATTATGCTCAGTGAAATAAGCCAGGCGGAGAAAGACAAGTGCCAAATGATTTCCCTCATTTGTGTAGTATAACAATGAAGCAAAACAGAAGGAACAAAATAGCAGCAGACTCAGAGACTCCAAGAAGGGACTAGTAGTTAGCAAAGGGGAGGGGTGTGGGAGGGTGGGTAGGAATGGAGGGAGAAGAGGATTGAGGGGAATTATATTTAGTACACATGGTGTGGGGGATTACATGGAGAACAGTGTATCACAGAGATGGCAAATAGTGAATCTGTGGCATCTTACAACTGGACAGTGACTGCATTGGGGTATGGGTGGGGACTTGATAATATGGGTAAATGTAATAACCACATTGTTTTTTCATGTGAAACCTTCATAAGAGTGTATATCAATAATACCTTAATGAAAAATTTAAAAAATAGAAAATAAAAATCAATAAAATAAAAAAATGTTTTTAAAAAGCCATATATGGTCATTTCAATAGGTACAAATAAAGCTTTTGTTCAACATCTATTCAAGAAGGAAATTGGAAATTTGTTTTAACTTCATAAAGAGTGTCTTTAAAAAATACAGAACAAATATCATCCTATTTGAAATATTAGATACATTTTAAGAATATTAAGAGTAATATTAAAAACATTCCTTTTAAAAATTAGGAGTAAGGCAAAGGATGTTGCTATTACTACTTTCATTCAACATTATATTGGAGATACTAACCAGTGTGATAAAACATGGAAAAATAAATTTACAAAAAGATTTAAAAGAAAGCTGATATGTATTGGTGACATAGTTTATATCTATAAGCAAATTAGTAGAAATAATGGGAAAGTTTAGCCGGGTGGCTGTGTATAAGATTAATCACAAATAACATTAAAATATGTAATACATAATCAAAAATATACAAATATGAATTGCATCTCCAGAGTGGAGCAACTAATAGTAACACATGAATAAGGAGAAGGCACCATTTACAATATTATCATGTGGTACTAAGTATCTAGTAATAAACAATTTTTTGTTTAAGGAAAAAAGTTTTAATTAAGAGAAACTAAAGAACAACTAGATAGACATATGCTTTATTCATTGATTGAAAGATTTAGCCTTGTGAAGGTTTCAGTTCTCCCCAAATTGATCAATAAATTGAATGCAAATTCAATCTAAATTGCAATAAGATTGTCATGAAATTTGATAAGATTTTTCTGATATGTGGAAGAGTAAATGGCCAAAAAGCCAGCGTTTTTGAAAAAGAAGAGTAGGGATGAGTAATTTGCCTTTCAGATATCCAAAGTTAGTATGAACTTATAGTAACTGAAAATAATACGTTTTGGCCAATTGAAGTCAGTCAACTTTTAATTTTTGGATTTCTTTAAAGGATGTAAATTTAATCTTTCATTATGAATATTTGAAGTCACCACATTTTGGAAAGCATATTTCAATGAAGAAATGACTTTTATGTAAACTTCACCTTATATTATAGATGTTAATACAATGGAAGGGTAAGGATATTTTGAAATAATGAAAATAACATGGTATGCAAATATTTTGCAATGGGTTTGGGAGATAGTTGTTGTAGATATTTCTGGTTTTTGGTCTAATCTAGATTCAAGTAAGGCCAAGTAGTTCAGTAATTTTCATAGAAATCTTAGGACCTAATTCTGGTTGGAGAATATCTCATGGAAGCCCTGGGGGAACTTCAGGTTTTGTAGAATAATGTAAAAAAACCTTGAACTTATTAGATAACCTTAGGAGGCTATTTCAAGACCTTTGTTTTTTTGTACTCACATAGGAATTTATATTGCCTTGTTTTTGACAGGCTAGTAGCTAAATATTCACTCAATAAAGCCTCATCCAATTTCTCTGGGCAGTTGTTTTTGTGTGTTCTTAGGAATTCTTGCATGTATGTCTTCTACCCTAAGCCCAGTGTTTGTTACTATCTCTAGGCTGAATTCCTTCAGCACTGGGATCATAACCTGGTTGTCTTTATATCCCTAGCACCTGGCATAATCCCTGGCACATAAGTGGATGGTTTGCTGATAAGTGGGTGAAAAATGAGGCTTTAGTGTGGTATAGAAATACATTAGGATGAGAATGTTCCTGGGAGAAGGGAAGAAAGGTCATTTTTTTCTACTGAAGCTGATTAATAGACTACTTTCTAAAAAGTATTTAGTATTTTTTGCTTAGATCTTATTTTGGTCAATAATCAGTTGTATAATCAAACATACCTCCCTGTCCTTCTGGGAAATTAAAATTTAATCAGCAAAATTCAATCTGTTAAAGACAAAATAAGAGTTAAAGACAAAGCCCTCTAAGTTCAGAGGAAGGAGAAATCACTGGGAACCTACAGCAGTTGTTATTCTGTGTGGTATTTGAGTAGGAAGAGAGGATGACAGCATTGCAGCCAGTGAAAATGGTGTGGTTAGAGGCTTAGAAGTGGGAAAGAATGAGGCATGTTGAGGGGTAGCCAGTTAGGCAACTCAGGGTGTTTCAGATGTGAGATGCTAAGAGTCTTGAGGAAGCCTAACAGTGGTTGGGATAGCTGTGGAAGACATGATCAAATGAAACTCCAGGGATTGGGTATAATAGGATAATGGATGAGTCAAAAATAACCAAAATACTAGTCTTGGTTAATTGGCAGAAAAATGATATTATGAACAAAATAGAGAAGGAAGGGAACAGGGCAAATTTTTTGGAGATGGTAAGTAATTCTATTTCCATTGGTTAAAAATACCAAGCTTACTTTTGCATGTAAGTCAAGAATCGGCCACATGTTTTATAGATATGAAATCATGATTTACATTTAATCATACTTCACAACATACAACACAGTTCCAAGAAAATATTGTGTCAAGAAGATATAACTTTGCCATCTTTTGTGCATGCATGTGTGTTTCTCTTAGATTCCAGTATAGTTGGTAATGCTGTACTTCAAGACTTACTGGCATATGTGTCTTCAAAACATTCCTATCTCAGAGATCTTCCTCAACGACAGCCTCAGGAAATGAAGAGTATAGACTTTGTAGAACTGGAGCAGCTTCAGCCGGATATGTTAGTCCATGCAGTCCTAAGAGTTGTTGATATCACTATACTGACAGGTAAACATTTTGAACACCCCCTTAATTTTAGATTATAAAAAAAATCAAGATACATTCTGCATCTGTGGATGTCTTGCTGCCCTTGTCTAGCCTGGATTAATACTTAGTCCATAGGCACACACCTGATCATCTGATCATCTACATTTGCCTTCTTACAGCACTAAACTATGTTTTCTACCTTTATCTTGCATCTACCTACCACTTCAGCATTTTATTAAAAATAAAAATAATAATAATAATAGGAGAAATGTGGGATCAACATATAAATCAAGTACAAAAATCAAACGAATATTCATATTTGACCTGATTGTTTATAGGTCATATTGCATGATCAAAACCGAAAGTTTCTGTGATGAATGCCCTTGTACTGTTCACCATGTAAGAATTTATTCACTATGTAAGAATTCGTTCACCATGTAAGAACTTGTTCATTATGCTTCAGAAGATTGGAGACTGACGAGAATTAGGCTTGAGATGGATTAATGATTGTACATTGAGCATTGACCCCCCTATACTGAATTTTATTGTTGTTAACAACCATTTGATCAATAAATATGAGAGATGCCCTCTCAAAAAAAAAAAAAAAATCAAGATACAAAACTATCTTAATGTACCATTGGGTTATCACTAAATATTGATCATTAGATGTTATAGTATCACATGTGATAGAGTAATGCCAACTAAAATATTCCTTTTTCTTTTCCAGAGGCTTTATACAGTTATAGAGGACAGAAGCAAAGAAAAATAATGTTAACAGTGGAACAGGCCCAAGGTCAATATTATGTGCTTGTATTATGGGGTCCTGGAGCAGCCTGGTACCCTCAACTTCAAAGGAAAAAAGGTAAATACACCAAAAAGCATTTACCCTATTTATAGTTAGGTAAATGATTAATGCCTTTGAGCCTAAGATGAATAGAATCTTTAAGAGATTAGACTAGTCGTGGTTGAATATTATTCTGCAGTCTTCCATTATAATATTATATTTCCTGTAAGCAATTCAGTGATCTAAAAAGTCTTCTATAATTAATGGTGGTAAAATAAAAGCTTTTACCAGGTATGATACTTTACCTTTTTTGTGAAGATCTTATCTCCTTTAGATCATGTTCCTTAAAATTTAATTCTGGAGAAACTTCTACAATTTTTATTCAGCCGAAGTGCTCTGTAAATAACCTCTCTGATTATAAGGCAGATGTTAGAGAGCTGCATTAACTGTTTCAAGTCACAATGTTACTGTTTAATAAAGTACTGTATTCTAGGTTTCTATTCTAGTTATTATAAAAATGTGGACTATTAGCCATCCATCAAATGTTCGTGTTTAAAATATGACCTATGATTACATTTTTCTTTAATGCAAAAGTCAATAATTTATTTTGTATTGAATTAAATGGAATTGATATTTCAATAAAATAATATAATATTTTCCTTTTGATACTGTGAGTTCCTTTGGTTGTAACAGTCGGAGATAGTTTAATTAGTGGCTTCTGAGTTATTTTACCCTGCTAAATTAATTCAGAGATTGAGTAATTGTGTGACTCATGCTTTTTTACTTGAAAGAGTTAATGTCTTTTCCCAAACTTCTACCTACAAAAGTTATCTAAAGATAGGATCTGTCACATTGTCTCTCTTAATCATTAATAGCCTGTAACTAGAATTTGAGATAAGTCTGACTTTTGACTTTTATGTTAGGATCAAACAGTGACAGATATTTGTTTGGTTGAGAAATATATGACAAACATTTGTCAATAATAGACTAACCATCTTTATTGACCATCATATCATAGCCAGGAACACAAGTCTAGTGCATGCTGAACAAAGTGTAGGTCAAAGGTGTTATTCCAATTATTAGGGAGATGTAGCAAAGCAAATTTCTCCATGCTAAGTAAGAATATTTTTTAAAAAGTAATAGTTACTTGGTTAATAGAAGAGAAATTGTAGTTGTCTCTAGATAATTCTGTGGTATTTTGGTTAATATTGGAAATTTATGAATCTAGGAATTAAGGTGAAGTTTTTCTTTGTTCACTCAGTGAGCATACTTTTATCTATAACAATGATTTAATATCCACCTCAATACTGCAAGATAATTCTTTTTTAAATGGGAAAATACCAGTTTTGAAAGATCATCTAAGTAAGTGATTGTACTTGCAGAAATTGTTAGCATTCTAACTGTTCATTCAGTATTTCTCTAGGCATTTTCTGTATTAATCTCTATGTTGGGGACTGGTTTCTTTTGTCCCTGAGCATAACAAAGTTATATTTAGGGGAGATAATCAGGGAGGATCACCAAACAGTCATTATTGAATATTGGAGGTAACAGAGTTGATGCCTTTGGGAAGAATTTAATAAGAAATCCCAAATTCACATTCTTTCAAAATATGTGTATTTTGAAAATCTGGTATGCCTCATATGTAGATCAAGCATTAGTCACAGTTTAGTCCTAATGAGGGTAGATTAGGGACATAAATTACACTTCATGGAAATAATTGGGTATGCATTAAATAAGCTATTCAGAACTAAATGCAATTCCAAAGCAGTATCTTCCTGAAATTATTTAATAGAGGTCTAATATTTTTTAAATGTAAGAAATTGTAATAAAGTACTCTCATGACATTAATAGTTAAGCACAGAGCAATGCAAATGACCCCAATATTTGGGATTATACTTCATGCAAAATTATAGTTATATCTGCATGGAGTTTTAAAATCCATTCATACCCTTAATTCATGATTCAAGTATAGAAGTATATCACAAATTGTCTCAATGCCAGTGTCTTCAGACTGACTTCCCTAACCTGCAAGTGACTCCTTTCTGTCAACCTTGCCCTGCTTCAAGGTCTTGAATTTACATGTTTCTTCCAACTCTCCCACATGGATGCCTCCTTCATCTCAGCTCTAATTTCATGTCCTCAGAGAGGCCTCACACGTGTATGTACATCATTACTCTGGCAGATCACTCAAGTGGCACTACATTTATGCCACTTAATCAGGATTACCTGTTTTATTTGTTCCTTTGATAATTAACTAATTTTCTCAGTGGATTGTATGTTCTGGGACTCTAAGCATTGTGACTAGCTTGTTCACCATTGTATTCCCATCACACAGCACTGTGCCTGCCCTAGTAGATATTTTCCTACGAATAAATCACTGAAGAATGAAATACAGATAAGGCAACCATTAAAAATTCCCACTGTCTTTAAGGAGTAACAGAGTCAGGTTTGAGGAGGAAATAACTTGTTTGTTTCAAATGATAAATCACAAAGCTAAAATGTATGCACATGAAGGTTTTGCAGTCCATGGGATGTACAAAGAAATTATATTTAAACTTGAGCACTGAGAACATCTAGGTAGAACTGGCACTCTACTGTGGTTAACTTAAGCAATTAAAGGGCATGTGTTTGAAGTATACAGGAGTATCCTTAGTACATAGAGCAAGAGTGCTAATGGGTTTCAGGGAGACTTGAAACTAGGAGCTGAAAAACTCTGTGAGTCCCAGGCAGCTTCTCCATGTATCTGCTTTATTAACTCAGGAAAGACTTTCTCTGCTTCTCAGCCATATGGAAGGCAGAAGATGGTTACTCCACAGTCCCTGATTTTACTTCTCCTTTCAAGAAACCAGTCCCATTTCCAAATTCTGATTGCCCAGATTGAATTTGATTCAGTCAACTGTGGCCTGGAGGACAGTTTTTGAAAGTACAAACAGGAATGCCCGAGCTCATTTCAGAGGGTGAGGAAACAGTTAAGGGGTCATTTGTGGTCTGGGTGGACACACAAAGGTATTCACTAACAAAGATATGTCCACTAGCCTGGAGAGGTGTGTGATGTATTATTTAGTTTAAAACTATATATATACAAACATTTAAAAATCTGAAAATATAGATACTAAAATCTTAGTAATGACTATCTCTGTATGGTAGTATTACGTGTTTTCATTTTTTCTTTATACTTTTAGTTTACATTTTGTGTGTGTGTGAAATCTGTATTTTTAAAACCTTTTAAAATGAAAAACTTCAAACATTTATAGAGAATATATAATGAATTGAAGTACCTATTATCCATCTATTACAACATGGCCAGTCTTATTTCACCTATTACTTCCCTTTTCTTTTACTGTCTAAATGTTTTACAGTAAATAGATTTTATTTTATAATTAAAAATAAAAGCGAAACTTTTTCCTTTAAAAAAAGTAAACAATGTTTAAACTATCTGGCTAACAATTTGTGAAAAAACAGAATTAAATTTATAATTCAGATTTATGCAAAAATAAATTCCAGATGCATTAGAGATTCTGATATTAAAAAAGGAAAAAAAAGAGTAGTAGAAGAAAATATAAGCAAACTTATTTGGCATCTAAAACTGAGTAGGTTAAATGAAATGCAGCAACAAAAACTACTATACATAAAAATCACCTTATCCAAAGTTAAAAGGCAAGTGAAAAACCAGGAAAAAATTGTGTTTTGTCAGAAAATAATATAATAAGAAAAGACAAGTATCTGTATGTATAAACAGGCAATAGATAGGAACAGGCAAGTCCCCAAAGAAGGAATAAAAATAGCCAATAAATGTATGAAAAAATTACTCTTAATGGTAACTGAAGATACAGAAATAAAATAATAATGATAGATTATTTTTCTCCCAAGAGACTGACAGAGAAAATATGGGGAAAAGGCCATTCTTATAAACTATTGGAAATGTTAATTGCCAAAACCTTTCTTGAGGACAGTTAACAATGCGTTAGGAAAAACCTTAGAATTTGGAATACCTTTGACCTAATAACTGTACTTCTAGGAATTTATCATGGCTATGTGTAAAGATGTAGCTGAAATATATTTATCATATTCCTATTGATAGTAGTGAAAAATAGAAAACAACCAACATGCTCCAAGATTTTTTTTAATAATTTTTAAGATTTTGGTATGTCTGTGCCAAAATATTAACATACAGCATTTAGAAATAATATAGCATAATACTTAATGACATGTAAATGTATGTTTGACATATTAAGTAAAAAGCAAATTGAAAACAACTGGATATCCACTAAAATATTAACTTTTTATTTTGGTGTTTCGATATTATGGCTGATATTATTTATTTAGCTTATCTGTGATGTCTAAGCATGTATTTTGTAATAAGAAAAGCAAGCTATTTTAAAAGTAGTGCTTTTCTTTTAAACAACTTGAAATGTGTGCTTAGTTCTTTCTAATGATGCTCTGTCTATACAGATTTACTGACTTGTTTAAAGATTCTCCCCCAAAAAACCTGTCCAATGAAAGAAACCAAAGAGGTATATGGGGATGTGTGAATTAGAGTTACGGCCTGAACTAAGTGGGAAACTAAAAAGACAGCTGTTATTAGAAAACTTAGTGCTAAAAACCCTCTTTCTATTTTATTATGTTTTAAAGTTGAATTTATTAATATAGGTTATTATTTGGTAAGGAGGTCTGTGTTACTGTGGTTTTAAGGATCAGAATTATTACTGAGGGAATTAAAAATAAGTGCAATTGTATCTAAATGCTTTTATTTGTTCTGGGAAAATTAGCTAAATAACAAAACTAAGGTGTTGAAAGATCAGTGAAAGATATTGATTATGGTAGACATGTCCATTTTTATGTCACTGTTTTTTAAATCTTTGCCTGTAGATATCAAAATGACTATTTGCTACTCTAAAAAGTGATTGGTTATGATAAATTATGATTGTTTAGGAGACCAAGAAATCTTTAGAAAAATTTTTTATTAAAAGTATCTCCAGCATCTTTATCCTGTTGCCATAATACAACATTCATATTTTGTCTCTTTATACCCAAGTTCCTTAGTGTGATGAAAGTTGTATTTAACTGACTTAATCAGTTTAGTCTATTTAATCTGATTCTGAGCCTATGTTATTCCTTTTTGGTGACTTTTTGTTTTTATTTGTTTAAGATTATATTTGGGAATTTAAGTATCTTTTTGTTCAGCGCAACTGCATTCAAGAAAACCTCGAATTGCATACAACTGCTTGGTCATCCTGTGAGTGCCTGTTTGATGATGATATAAGGGCAATTGCATTTAAAGCAAAATTTCAAAAAAGCACACCCTCTTTTGTGAAGATGTCAGATTTAGCAACACACCTCGAGGATAGATACTCAGGTAAGATCCTTATATACATAAGACATTGCTGTTAACATAAGCAAGCAAACTACCATCTGTAGGAAAAATGTCCTGTTGAATGTAAAAGTGAACTATAGATCTTTGTAAGTAGCTGAACCAGATATGGGCATCTTTGCTTTTTTGCCTACAATCCTTTGAGGTTAATTTGTAATTATTAGGGGTCACTTAAAAATATTTTTTGCATATAGTTACAAGCAACTCATCATCTAATAAACCAGAAATAGAAAAATGACCCTAACCAGAGTCACTGTTGGGATAAACACTTTATCAAGTTAGGAAGCTGTCATCTATATGTGGTTGTTAAAATTTAATGTTGATATAGAATCTGTGAAATTTCCTTACTGCTTTGTAAAATGTAATAATGTATTTACTGAACTGAAATATCAGTGTATGTGTGTAGAAATTCATCCCCAGAAGCATACTGTTTAGAAGAATGCCTTTGATGATGAATTTTTTATACATACTTACATGTTTTCCATGAACTAAATATAATTAATGTAATTCATTTTGAATGAAGTAGCAAAAGGAGTATGTTTTAGGTTCCATATGCCATACACTTTGGAAAATGTCCAACTGAATGTAAAAGTGAACTATAGCTCTTTGTAAGTAGCTGAACCAGATATTGGCATCTTCTTAGTTTTTTGCCTACAATCCTTTGAGGTTAATTTGTAATTATTAGGGATCACTTAATAGAGAGAATAAATAGTGAAAATAACTAGGTAAATTGATACAAATTTTAGTGGGAAATACTTTTCACTAAATTGTATTGGCTTCCTAAGTACAGAGATGATGCTAAAATTATGCTAACTCCTAGTTGAAGGCCTAACAAATTAAATGGCATTTGAAGCAACTTTAAGGTTTCTAAATGCCAGAATTAGTAAATGTCAGTGATTATTTGTTTAGAAACTAGTAAGAAGTTAGAAGAGAAATAAAGTTTAAAAAATGGGATGTATGTGCAGGTTTGCCATTACATAATCTAAATTTTTTAATGAAGAAAAAAATATTTGGTCAAAATTTGTTCTCAGAATTTGTTTAAGATTACCATTTTGGTGCTTTTACAGGTTAAGTTACTACAAATAACTCAGGAACTGTGGATCTTGATACTAAATCTTAACTATATTCTTCCATTTGTATGAGTAATTTTCTGAGCTCTTATAAATGGTTTTAGGTTTTATTTAATGCTCCATGTGGTTTAAGGGAATAAGATTATTTGTACAGTTCTTCCAATAAAAGAATCTGGTACAAAATGAAATAACTTGAAGCTCTCAAGAAATCACATACTAAGATTCTCAAGTGTATTTCTGGGGCTTTTTTACTAGAATGCCGTGCCCCCTTTTGGTACATCCACAGAAATGTAAAAGTTGTGTCATATGCAATGTGTAGAATATTTCAGAGGTAGTGTTTTTCAAATGTGGCTTAGAGTGTGCCCGATTTTAAAAATTTTAATAGGGTTTTTGGGGTATAATTTTCATACAGTAAACTGTCTATTTAAAGCATAATATATTCACGTTGGTAAGTTTTGACATGACACCTATGAAACTGTCACTATAGTCGTGTACTGTCACCAGTCTGCCCCTTTGTAATCTCCCTCTACCTGCCCCCCTAGTCCTTCGAGTCAGTCAATCTTTTTTCTATCATTGGAGATTAGTTTGAATTTCTATGATTTTTTTGACATGGAATCATACAGTATGTACACTGTTTTGTCTGGCATCTTTAACTTAGCAAATTCTTTTGAGATGTATCTATGCTGTTGTGCTGATCAATAGTTCATTCCTTTTTATTCTGTTGTATGAATATCATGATCTGTTTATGTGTTGATAGAAATCTGGGCTGTTTCCACATCTTGACTATTATAAGTAAAGTTTCTAAAACCATTCATATATAAGGTGTTCTATGGACATAGTATTTCTTTTCTTGTGAGTAAATACCTAGGAGATGAATAAATTGCTGGATTATATGGTAGGTATATATTTAACTTTTTAAGAAACTGCCAAACTGTTTTCTAAAATTGTCGTACCATTTTACATTTCCACTAAGCTGTGTATGAGAATTCTGTTTTTCTACACATACTTCAACACTTGGTACAGACATTCTTTTTAATTTTACCCATTCTAGTAGGTACGTAAGTGATAGGTCATGTAGTTTTAAATTTGCATTTCCTGGTTGACTAATGAACACCTTTTCATGTACTTGTCTTCTTTTATGAACTATCAGTGAAATCTTCTGCCCATTAAGAAAAATTGGGTTGGCTATTTTCTTATTGAATTTTGAGAGTTCTTTATATTCTGGGTAAAAATTCTTTGCCAGATATATGCTTTGCAAATATGTTCTCTCAGTCTGTGCTTGTTTTTTGATTCTGTTAACGAGGTCTTTTGAAAACCGTAAGTTTTAAATTTTAATGAAGTCTAATTAATCCATTTGTTCTCATATGAACTGTGTTTCTGGTGTTGTATCTAGAAAATCTTTGCCTAACCCAGTGTCACACACACAAAAATGTCCTATGTGTTACTATAGAAGCTTTAGAGTTTTAGTTTTTATATTTGGGTTTATGATCTATTTTCAGTTAATTTTTGTATGTAGTGTGAGATATGGCTGCAAGCTCTGCATGTATGTGTATGAATATCCAATTGTTGAGCACCATTTGTTGAAAAGTTTATTATTTCGCCAGTGAATTGCTTTTGCACCTTTGTCAAAATCAGTGTTGTACATATGCATGGTCTATTTCTGGACTTTCTCTTCTGTTTTATTGGTCTATTTGTCTATCTTTACACCAATACCGCACTATTTTGATTATTGTAACTTCATAAAAAGTCTTGAAGTCCAGTAGTGTTAGCCTTCCAACTTTGCACTTTTTCAAAGTTGTTTTGATTGTTCTAAGTCTTTTGGATTTTCATATGATTCTAAAACCAGTTTTTCAATTTCTACAAAAAAAACCCTGCTGGGGTTTCTATTGAAGCTATGTATCAATTTGAGGAAGAATTGATATCTTAATATTGTATTTGCCAATCCATGAAGAAGAAATATCTCTATATTTTTTTAGGTCTTCTTTAATTTCTTTTGGCTGTGTTTTGTAGTTTTCAGAGTATAAGGCTTTCTTGTTATTTGTCACACATATCTATTTTCTGTTTTTATGCTATTAAAAAATTGTTTTTTAAAATTTCAGTTTCAGTTGTGTGTTGCTAATATATATAAAATCAAGTGATTTTTGTATATTAATTTTGTATTTTGTAACCTTCTTAAACTCACTAAACATTATAGTAACTGTTCTGTAGATTTGGATTTTCTACATAGATGATTATGTTATGTGTGAGTAAAGATAGTTTTACTTCTTACTTTGCAGTCTGGATGCATTTTATGTATTTTTCTTGCCTTATTGAACTTGATAGCTCTTCTAATATAATATTTTTAAATCTTCACCTCCACTAGTGCAGTTACTATCTGTCAACATAGGAAGATATCACAGGATCATTGGCTGTATTCTTCATGCTGTATTACTATCCCCATGACCAACTTATGATTGAGAATTTTTGTGCCCCTTTATCCCCCCTTCCCTCCCCCATGATAGCCACCAGTCACTTCTCAGTGTCTATGAGTCCACTGCTATTTTGTTCATTTTGTTTTGTTTTGTTTTGTTTTTAGATGTCCCAGATAAATGAAATCATGTGGTATTTGTCTTTCTCCATCTGTCTTATTTCACTTAGCATTATACCCCCTAGGTCCATCCATGTTGTCACAAATAATAGGATTTCTTTCTTTTTTATGGCTGAATAATATTCCACTGTGTATGTGTACCATTTCTTCTTTATCCATTCATCTATTCATTAATGGACACTTTGGTTGCTTCCTTATCTTGGCTACTGTAAATAATGCAGTAATAAGCATAGGGGTGCATATATCTTTTTCTTTTTCAGTTGAAATTTTCTTTGAATTAAAGACCCAAGGGACAAGAAGCTCCTTTGTTATAGTATATAACATATGGCTCTTATACTGAGTAAAATAGACACCAGGGAGTCAAATGTTTATACCAGTGCCGAATCCTTACTGTATGTAGCAGGTGAAGTGAAGCAAGATTTTCTTTACTGGCATTCCAATTGTGATACATTTTTACATGCAGTAAGTTCTTTGGTAGATTTAATCATTCAGTGGAATTACAGAATTTGCAAAAGGAGGTAGTAAAATATGTAAAATTGAGCATAGTACTTCCACCATAAGCTATTTATACATCAGAAAGTCAATCCTAGTAAACTTCTTAAATAGTGCATCAGTAATTATCAATTAACTTCTGTATTTAGGCATATACACAAAGTAAATAAAGTAGAGTAGATAATGGTTCTTAAATGTTTCATGATGTCTCTAGTAATTGTGCAAATGGAAAAGGATATGGAATTCTTTGAAATCCTGGATCGCTACCACTATCTATCCTCTCCCCAACAAGCACATCTATAAGGCATTATTTTGGAACAGTTACCAAATGCATCTTAAATAGTGTATAAATAATGACAGCAATAGTTTTCAACCATAACATTGTAATTTCCTCAAGACTTTCTGCCTTATGTATGAATAATGTGGGTTTTGAAAGGTACTCAAAGTAAATTACTACAGAAAAGAAAAACCCCTGATTAGGAAAGGACTAGCAGAAGATTTTGATCTATCATGACATAAAGGCCCAGTGTGCATAATGCCATGGAAATTTAGTATCGGAATGAAAACTGATGCTCCTCACTGAGCAGTGAGCTCTCTTCCATCAAGAGGTATAGTTCTGAAGTGGTTTACATTTTGATTTTACCAGGCACCAAAATTTCTAACACAGTATTTTCCTTTTAAAATCAGAAACTTGTTCCCACTGTGGACTGAGGATTAAAGTATCTTAATATTCTTCAAGTGACTTGTAAGACGACATAGGGGGTTATTTCACTTAAGCCACCTGCACTGCTGCAGTTTTAAACCCATTGTAGAGAGATTTAAAATAAATAAAGCATTGAATTTCTCTCATAGATGGGTTCAGTTCTAAATTTTTCGTCCTCAAGCTGCCATTATGACTGAGTTTATGGCAAGGAAGGCCCCCATCCAATAGTCCTTTCATACAACAGTTTGAACAGGAGTGACACACTGTGCAGGAGAACTGGCTCTCTCTGAGGATGAGGTTGAGTGGTTGGAAATCTCTCTCTGTAGTTTCTCTACTTTTTTCTGAAGCTCTGCTCTTTTAGCAAGAAATTCTTTATACCTGTTGTGAATGGGCTCCTGTGTTTTCATCTGTGGATTCCACCTCACATAATATCCCACCCAGAGTTCTAGGTGACACATGCTGGCTACTGGATAAAGCACATGATTGGAATAGCTACCATAGAGAGGATTTGTGAAGTCTTCCAGCTGGCTGTTTATGTAAGAGCACAGAGACACAGTCCTTTTAGGAAAACTCTTTTCCTCTCCTGTTTGCTGTTACAGAGGAATGTTCCAAATAAACAGCTGTACAAGTGGTCCAAAATGGTAATGAGAAAATATTCATTGAACTCAAATGCTGTAGGAAACTGTCTTGTCATTTGCCAGATACAATGAATTGAAGAAAAACGGGTGATTTGTCTGCATCTGCATGGTTCTTATCTCCATGGCCCACTGTAAGCTGAAATCGATGTCCAAAGCTTAGCCATTCTTTTTCCACAGGACTTCAAATCCACAGATAGTTCGATAGTATCCATCCAACATAAGCATGGCGAGGGAGCTGAGTTGAGCTGTGCAATCCCACCCATCACTGCAGTGGACGACCACAGATGTCTTCCCTGACTCGACTCTGTCAGCAATTCTCAGAGCCCCTGCAAGAATAAGCTTAAAATGTTCTAGCCAGTGAGTAGATTCCAAGTTAGACAGCCAGTGAGTCTCCTCGATGTTGGGGTACACAATCTTCTTAAGTTTCGGTAATGATTCCCTCAGAACATGAATATTGTGGATATCTAGAAAAACTAGCTCTGCATTTTGATAGGCATCTGCACTTTCATAACCTCCACCCTTTGCCTTATTGGCAACAGCATTAACACTTGGCCAGGCATCAAATATAAAAATTTTATGAGACTGGGCATTAGAGTCCATGATGACTTGAAGGTATTTTTCATCTTTGCTTCACTTCCCGGGCTGGCTACATCTAGTGATTGTGGCTTGACTTTCAGGATGAATCCATGATAAAATGGGGATATGCCTCTTTGACCTGAAGGATGACACTCTTTTTAACTCTTCATAAGGGATATTTGCTGGCACAACCAAGAGGGCAGGGTATGTATCACAAAGCTCATATTGGTCATTTATCTTTGTCATTCTCCAGCTTTCATTGGAATTCCCTACCTTCTATACTCTAAAAGAGGGTTATATAGCTTCCATCCATTTTCAGGGAATACTTCTTTGTATTCAAAAGCAAAAAGAGGCAGATTATTAGAGATTGGAAATGCATATTTCATTAGATTCTCAAATATGGATCTTCTTGTTTACCCCTCAGGTTTATGACCAAACCGTTAATTTCCTAATATCCTTGCACACAGTTTCTAATCCATAAGAATTTTCACCTCGACTAGAAGTTGATTTTTTCTACTCTGCTTATCACACCAAGAGAAGCATCTAAAACAAATGGGGGATCCCGTTCCATGCTTTTGAAATATAACCTGTAATTCGTGACAGTCAGTTCCTCATACAGCACCAGTGAATGGACATATATAAGTTACATCTTTAGCCTCAGATCAGGAGAAAAGTTGTCTGTAGAAGTTGAAAGGGAGTCCAATGATACAACAGATGCTGATTTTATATGCACTGAATTCTCTGAATGAGAAGTAGAAGCAATTATAATTTTAGGGATGTTTTATATTCACTTCTGATGATCTTCAAATGTCAATGGCTCTTCACACATTAACTGGACAGGGAGTCCACACTGGGCGGCTGTGCCACCGCTGGCTGGGAGCCCAGGCTCTTGCAGCTCAAGCTCTTCTCCATGGCACTGTGCGGGGGCAGCAGGGGGAAAGACTCCATATATCTTTTCAAATTAGTGATTTTGTTTTCTTTGGGTAAATTCCAGGAAGTGGAATTATTGGGTCATAAAGTGTTTCTATTTTTAGTGTTTTGAGGGACCTCTGTACTGCTTTCTACTGTGGCTGTACCCATGTACATTCCCAGCAGCAGTGTAGGAAGGTTCCCTTTTCTCCACATCCTTGTCAACACTTGTTACTTTTTGTCTTTTGGATAGTGACCATCCTGACTGGTGTGAGGTGATATCTCATTGTGGTTTTGATTTGCATTTTCCTGACAGCAGTGTGAAACATCTTTTCATGTGCCTCTTGGTCATCTGTATTTCTTCTTTGGAAAAATGACTGTTCAGGTCCTCTGCCCATTTTTTAATTGGATTGTGTGTGTGTGTTATTCACTTCTGATGATCTTCAAATGTCAATGGCTCTTCACACATTAACTGGACAGGGAGTCCACACTGGGCGGCTGTGCCACCGCTGGCTGGGAGCCCAGGCTCTTGCAGCTCAAGCTCTTCTCCACGGCACTGTGCGGGGGCAGCAGGGGGAAAGACTCCATATATCTTTTCAAATTAGTGATTTTGTTTTCTTTGGGTAAATTCCAGGAAGTGGAATTATTGGGTCATAAAGTGTTTCTATTTTTAGTGTTTTGAGGGACCTCTGTACTGCTTTCTACTGTGGCTGTACCCATGTACATTCCCAGCAGCAGTGTAGGAAGGTTCCCTTTTCTCCACATCCTTGTCAACACTTGTTACTTTTTGTCTTTTGGATAGTGACCATCCTGACTGGTGTGAGGTGATATCTCATTGTGGTTTTGATTTGCATTTTCCTGACAGCAGTGTGAAACATCTTTTCATGTGCCTCTTGGTCATCTGTATTTCTTCTTTGGAAAAATGACTGTTCAGGTCCTCTGCCCATTTTTTAATTGGATTGTGTGTGTGTGTGCATGTGTGTGTGTGTGTATGTGTGTGTGTGTGTGTGTTGAAGCATATAAGTTCTTTATATATTTTAAATTCTAACCCCTTATTAGGTAAATCATTTACAAATATATTCTCCCATACTGTGGGTTGCCTTTTTGTTCTACCATTGGTGTCCTTTGCTGTACAGAAGCTTTTTAGTTATAATATATCTTTTTGTTTGTGTTTTGTAGGAGTGATTCTCATCAAGGCACAGATTTTGGAGCTGCTGTTTCCTATTACAGCAGCTCAAACAATAGTTCTAAGTGCTCATAGTTCTCTGAAGAATATTTTCTCTTCACTTCCGAACATTACATACACTGGCTGTGCAAAATGTGGATTGGAACTAGAAACAGATGAGAACAATATCTACAAACAGTGTTTTAGCTGCTTGCCATTTACAATGAAGAAAATATACTATAGGTAAGGCAAGTAAGCAAGCCAATTGAATGGCAAATATAGGACTGAAAAGGACCAATGTATTATATCTATCAGCTCTTACTTTGCAACAAGAACTATCTAGAATCCAAGAGAGTAAACGTTTCCCCCTTGAGTACTAGTTATTTGTGAAAGCAAAAATTGTAATCATAATGGGAATTTTTTAAACTAGTAATTGGGAGATTTTATTATCTTCAAGCAAATAGGTTGAAGGAAATTTTTACTTGGTTTACATTTTAAACCAAGTTCCAAATGGCTCATTAGAAACTCATTTCTCCACCTTAACATTTAATTAGAATTTAAAGGCTAAAAGTACTGTATGATCTAACCTCTGGCTTCTGAAAGTTAGTAAGATGTTTAACCTTTCTGTACTTTAGTTTTCCCAACTTCACATTAGAAATTAATATAACAATTATATATTAATGATACCAAAAAAACACTGTGAAAAAAAGAAAGAAAAAAATGAAATTAAGTATAACAAATATTCTACAGTAAAATTGCTAACCAGCTTAGTAAAAACACATTGTTTTTTAAACAATAGCAACACAGTGTTCAAAATCTTGGTCTTTTTCTTTTTACCTTATAAATAACATGCTTTTACAAAATATCACTCAGTGTTTTGTGCTCTTTTCTATTTCTAAATACTGCAGAATCTAAAAATGAAATGCAAATATACTCAGCATGTTATCATGACATACATTAAGAGAACTTACAGTAGTTTAATCCATAAACCTCATTTTCCTCTACATATATTTGTTATAAATAAGTAAATAAATTTTGTTCTTACATTGAAAATTGCTTATATGGAAAAGAAGATTGAATTAGATGCATGGTATATAACAAACATATCAATTACAATTGATTTCTTATCAATAGTTAAGGCCCCTTATAGAGTGTGTGCATATATATGTACACTTATTTTGTATCATTCCTTATGTCTCTTATTAATATAATTATTTATTGGACAAGAATGTTGTCCAATAAATGTTCCTCATGGAGAGGAGGGACTTTCAACCAGTCTAAAGGATGACTGTTTAAGAGAAGGACTTCACAGATCAATGTCACATGACTAGAGTATAACCTAGCATGATGTTTTAGAACATCGTCCTAAATGAGACCACTTTAAGGATGTAGTGCTTTTTTTGTGTGTATTACTAGAATGTTGAATAGACATGATTAAGCAAGAGTTATTTTTTTGTTTATTTAAAAGACTTCCAATATAGATTTAGGATCCAGATTATTTGGGCTCCTTGAAAAGAAAATTTTTAGATTAAATAACAGATTCCCTTCAAATTAAGTCAAGTATGTGATGAAGAAATCATAATGTGACATCACTTATGACTCTACATAAGTCAGCAAACTGAGTAAGAAAAATCTGTGACTGCTTCTTTTTCCAAGACTTAGTCAATCAAATAGTTACTAGGTATCCACATGTTCCCCTGGTACTTAGTCCTGAGGAGGCCATACTGATTGATGTGAGTATTCTTCTTGTACTAAAAAAATACACAGTTCATTTATGAAACACTTAATGAACATCGTATGGCATGACAGTCCCAAAGTCTGGAAGGATTAATGACATTTTATGTTGGTTGTTATCAATTACAATTGATTTCTTATCAATAGTTAAGGCCCCTTATAGAGTGTGTGCATATATATGTACACTTATTTTGTATCATTCCTTATGTCTCTTATTAATATAATTATTTATTGGACAAGAATGTTGTCCAATAAATGTTCCTCATGGAGAGGAGGGACTTTCAACCAGTCTAAAGGATGACTGTTTAAGAGAAGGACTTCACAGATCAATGTCACATGACTAGAGTATAACCTAGCATGATGTTTTAGAACATCGTCCTAAATGAGACCACTTTAAGGATGTAGTGCTTTTTTTGTGTGTATTACTAGAATGTTGAATAGACATGATTAAGCTAGAGTTATTTTTTTGTTTATTTAAAAGACTTCCAATATAGATTTAGGATCCAGATTATTTGGGCTCCTTGAAAAGAAAATTTTTAGATTAAATAACAGATTCCCTTCAAATTAAGTCAAGTATGTGATGAAGAAATCATAATGTGACATCACTTATGACTCTACATAAGTCAGCAAACTGAGTAAGAAAAATCTGTGACTGCTTCTTTTTCCAAGACTTAGTCAATCAAATAGTTACTAGGTATCCACATGTTCCCCTGGTACTTAGTCCTGAGGAGGCCATACTGATTGATGTGAGTATTCTTCTTGTACTAAAAAAATACACAGTTCATTTATGAAACACTTAATGAACATCGTATGGCATGACAGTCCCAAAGTCTGGAAGGATTAATGACATTTTATGTTGGTTGTTTGCAACTTGAAACGGATTTTCCAAAGGAAACAACATTAGATATCATTATTGGAGTCTCATGTCAGCTTGCAAAGGCTTCTTTTATCCATGTGAACATGTAGCATAGTTGCTGTTCTTAACAATGTTTTTACAGTATGTGTATTCGTGATGACATTTTTGGAGCACAAGAAATACATTGTTTTTTCCATTGTCACCATGATCAATTTTAGGACCTTTTCATCACCACCCCTCCAGCCCCCCAAGCCCCTTGCCCATTAGCAGTCACTTCTCACTCTTGCCTCCCCCAGCTCAGCATTTGGATTGGTCCCACCTTTTGGCTATTATAAGTAATGCTGCCGTGAACATTTATGTACCAATTTTTGTGTGGGTGGATGTTTTCATTTCTTTTGGGTGTATACTCAGGAATAGAATTGCTGGGTTCTGTGGTAACTGGTTACCTTTTGAGGAACTGCGAAACTTTTTCAAAGTTGCTGCACAATTTTACATTCTCACCAGCAGTGTATGAGGGTTGCATTTTCTCCACATCCTTGCTAACACTTTTTATTATCTGATTTTCTTTTTGTTGCTTGTGCTTTTCATATCATATCTAAAAGAAGTATCCTTTCTAAGCCAAGATCATGGAGATTTATTCCTATGTTTTTTTAAGAATTTCATAGTTTAAATATTATGTATATGTCCATGATCTGTTTTGAGCTAATTTCTGTGTATGTTGTAAGGAAGGGGTCCAAGCTGATTCTTTTGCATGTAAATATTCAGTTGTCCCAGCATAATTTGTTGAAAAAGACTTTTCTATTCCCATTGAATCATCTTGACACCATTGCTAAAACATTTAGTGTTTTTATATCCCCCTAAACTCTCAGGTTCCTTGAGTGAAGGAATCAGATCTATCTTGTTCACTAGTGTATCCCCAGGGCTTAGCACGGTGCACGGGATGTGGTAGATACTGAGTATGCACTTGTTGCAGTAAAGAATGGAGGAAGAGAAATAACTTTGGGGCAGAGTGTAGCGTGAAAAAGAGGAAAGGACCTAGAATTACCATGTGGGTAAAGAGGGAAGTAAGTTTTTAGAGGGAAAATCAGTAGTGTTGTTTTAACTGCTATGCTGAATTCCCCTTTATTAACGAGTCTTTTCCTAAATTCTGCTTTCAATTTATTTTTTTAAATTTATGTATTTAAAAAAGAGGTAATATATACCATAGTAAGAATGCAGACTTTAGAGGAAGGTATAAAACAAAAAATAAGTCTTCTTCCCCATCTGCTTCTCTACCATTGATACTATTTCCATGCTTGTTAGATATTTTTTGTATACTCTCCCAGTAATTTACTATGTTCCTACTAGCACAGGTGTATCCCTTCCCCTAAAAGTATGTAGATAAAATAGTATTACTGTTTTGTTCATAATGTGTTTCCCTTAGAGTATTTCATAGTGCTCCTTCCTGAATAGTTTTTATAAGTCATCCTCATTCTTTTTAACAGCCACATAGTACCCCATGGTATGATGTCCCTAAAATTATTTATCTAGTTCCCTATTTATTAACCTGTGAAACAGTTTGTTTTTCATAGGAAAGAATCCAGTGGAAAAAAATAACTTGAAATTGTGATTGGGAAACATGTAATTATCATCTTTACTTTTATTTCTAAAAATAATTTACAAAACAGTGTAAAATAATGTTTTTTTATACTAGTGTCTTAGATTTTAAAATGAATATGGAATAAATCAAATTTATGAATTTATAATTTGCAACTCTTTTTAAAAAGCCTTTCTCTTATTTCTAGGATTTTTTCAGAACATCCTAGAGTTGTTTCAGGATTAAAGTTAACCCTGCATAAAAACCCAGTGCTTTTTGAAATTTTATTACATTTAAGCATTTTTTTTTACTTGAAACTCTTACTAAAGGTCATGTGCTATTTACTGTTTTGTAGGCCAGCTGTAATGACCATAGTTGATGGGACATACAAGGTTTGCATCCATGTAGGATCAAAGCTGATAGAGAAGATTCTTCTCAACATTTCTCCTGACTGTCTCAACAGGGTTATAATAGGTAAGACATCATCATGCTGTGGAGAGGTTGTTTTTGGTGAAATTATACTTTTCAGGAGTGTAGGTAATATAATGGGACAGAAAGAATGCTCTAGTGTAAATTAAGGTTTTTGTCTGTCAGTATAAAAGCATACAGATAATTTAGTTTGAGTAAAGCACAAGACTACGTGAGTTCGAGGTAAGACTTCAGCACACGAATAAGGGAAGTGAGCACTTAATCCCTTCTTACTCTGAACTCCTAATTGGTAAGCAGAACAGTAGGACCTCAGTGTTACAATGGTTAAATAAATGACTGTGTGACTAAATGAACTGTATAGATGAGGACAGGCTGCCAGCCGGGAGTGGGTTCAGTGGGTCATTAGCTCTGGTTGCTAGTGTAGGCAGTGGTTAACAGCGAAGTGAAGGTAACTGTTTGCCAGGTGATCAACCTCCACACCTTTCCTCGTTATTTAATCTCAGACTCTAAGCAGATAAGCTCATCTGGTTCTATTGATTATTGTCTTTTACTAGTAGGTTACCTTTTTCTTGCTGTTTTGTATGTTTTAATAATTTTTCCTTGAATGCTGAGCATTGCATATAGAACAATACAGACTGAAGCAAACAGTTTTGTAGAAATGGGCCTGCCTGTTTTCCTACACCTTTCCTGAGACAGTGGCTGGGCAGAGTGGAATCAGTCTTGTCAGATGTTGAGTTGGATTCGAGATTGTTATTCCTTCAGGTCACCGCTGGCTTCAAACTCCTCTAACATTAGCTTGTGCTTATGGTGGGTAATGGTTTGCTAGGGACTTTTCCCTGATGTTCCTACTCCAGCAGCAGTCTTTACTCTGCATGTGGGCCCCAGAGAGTTCCTCTGCATGTTTTTGCACCTCTCGGCAGTGGTACAGGCTCCGCTGGTTGGTGCAGCCTTGCCAGGAGTGGGGGTAGGGGCAGGAGTGATCCTGTTTGATTCCTGTCCAACCCTAGTCTGACTCAGGCCCTGTGCATCCGGGTCCAGGGTGTGGCACTTTGCAGTGACTCTGACCCCTGCGTGGCAGCCAAGCTCTGCCTTGTACCTTTGGTGGGTCTTGTGTGGTCCTGCCACTCTCCCAGCAGTAAGGCACCACCAGTGGCCTTAATCCAGGGTGGTTTTCTGCCCCTTCACCAGGGAGAGAGGGATGTTTCTTCTTCCTTTCCTTCATCTTCAGTGGGTCCTCATCTGTACCCTGGGGTAGCAAGATTTGCCGTTCTTCCTCCAGCAGTCTGAGGCTTTTGGTCTCTAAGGGAGAGGTCCTGAGTAGTACCCTGTGCTTTTCCTCCTGGCAGTTCCTGCCCTTCCCCACAGTTGGAAGCTTTCTCTGATGTCTTGCCCTCTGTCCACTCCTGTGAGCACCTGTTGGAGCTGAGAAGAGCCTTGGAGAGCACAAAGTCCACTTGTCAGGGGCACTGGCCCATCCTCGGCTTTGAGAAATTCATTAAGAATTTAAGTGCATTCTCCTTTCTTGCTTGTTTGGTGCACCTCTCTCTTCTCTGAGGGCTGCCCCAGGTAAACCTGGGCTCCTCTTCTGTCTCTTCTTACATTTCAGGCTTCTTGGCTGCTGTACAACTGCAGCTCTCTTACAGCTTCAAGAAAATTGAGGTTTCGTACTTTATTCTGCCATTTCTAGTAATTGCCAGGGCAGGAGTCATGCTCTTCCCAGCTGTCTGCATCCCAGTTAAAAGTCCCTCTATTCTTTTTGATTGATTCATTTTCTTTATTAATTTTCATTCTTTTGGCCATTTTCATTCCTTTTCTCTATGTTTTAATTACATTTTCAGTCTTTGTCTTCTCATTTTTAACAATGTCAATTAGTCTTTATTTCTTAAAGAACCGTGATTCTTCCATCAAGTGTACATCTACATTTTTGCTCATTCCTGAGAGAACTGAGTCATAGTTCTTGGCATTAATTAAATTATAACCATAAAGAAAAATGTGGCACCAGTTATAAAGTGATCATCAGACCATTCAGATTATTACTAATCTTAATTTTTTTTAGCTTATTAAAGTGAAAATACAAATTTTTCAAGAGTTGTAGAGAATTTTCACTCCTCCAGAAATATGTCACTGGCTTTCCAGGAGTCTGTAGACCAAATCCAAGACAGGCTGGTGGGCTGTGGTCAGGGCACTAGTAAAGTCTGAGCATAGTCCATAGTGCCTTGTTCATCTGGAGCTCAGCACCCTGCTAAGTAACCTGGTTTGCTGTCCTAAAAAATCAGAGGAAGAATTAGAGCAAATGCAAAATACAGGGACATATCTACCTATAATTTTAGTATTTTTATATTACCAAGATTTGATATTTACTAAGTAACTGATTCAGGGTTCTGTTACATAAACTAAATATATATCTGTGATAAGACTGGGTAAATGTAAAAGTACTTTGCTGATATGGACATGCTCTTTTTGTTTTACATTTGACTTAGGAAAACATTAAGCTCAGTTCTTTCCTCTATTGTGAGAAACCAGTAGCTGGGCCACTCAGTAAACACCGTCAGTCTGAGCAGGGGTTTCTGTGTCTTCTCTCCTCCATCAACAGGAATGAGGGCCAACACTCTAGAGTACCTTCATGCCCAGGACTACAAAGAGAAGGGATAGAGAGAGAAACTTAGAGTGGGTTTGGGACTTGGGAAACCAAGGGCAACAGTGGCCCCCTGCGTGTGTACGTTTCTCTTAGCCTGGATGGGACACTAAGCTGTGTGTGTGCTCCATCTCCTCCAGCTCCGTCCTCAGAGGTCACCTACGGCATGGTTGCAGCAGACCTGTTCCATTCCTTGTTGGCAGGCAGCGGGGCACCCTGCGTGGTGAAGGTGCAGAGCAGCTTTGTGTTAGATGAGAACAGCTACCCACTGCAACAAGATTTCTCCCTACTGGACTTTTATCCTGACAAAGTAAAGCAGGCATCCTATACCAGATGAAGAAATTGCAGGTACTTCAAGGAAGAGGACTGAAATGGTCTGTTTTTTGAAATAAATAAACAACAGAGCTTTTACTTGGGATTTTAAAATAATATATTTTACAAAGAGAGTTATGCTAAATATATAAATTAAAAAATTGTTTTTCCTAAGGAAGTTTTGTGAGGGTTTTGGGTTCATTTTTTCCTCCCTTCCTTTCTTGCTTCTCAGGAAACAGTCTAGTAAGAAAGGCAAGACAAGCCCGGGAACTAAAGGTTCACTCTGTTCCATCCCTGCCCTGTTCCAGGCTCTATGCTAAATTCTTGGATATGGACGTAAGATATTTTCTCAGGCCATTTTTCTGCTATACTCACTAACTTCAAGTGCTTTCCTTTATTCCTACTTTAGTAAACCATCAACATGAAATGATTTCCTTGATTATAACTATGTAAGAAGGTATTCTTTTAAGACTGTTTAGATAAGTTCAAGACAAGCATGTCTTTCTATAAAGAATCATTGAAAATGAAAGGAGATCATGATTCAATCAATTTATAAAGGAAGAGAGTCATTGTTAGTTCACCTCTAGGATATGAGTACCTTATTCAAAGTACTTTCCAACAACCCTAGCAATTTGTTTTGTTATTGTGCCTGTAGGAGAAGCTTGTATAAATGGTAGTCACCAATAAGGAAACATGGACTGGTTCTTGACCTGTAAGTTTGGAGGGTATGTTGAGTGTTAATAGATTAATAGTATTGCTTGGAAATCACTAAATTCATAATGAAATGAACACATTTATTTTACTATATGTGTGTTTCTAAAAATTATTCTGCTTCATTGAAATTATTTTCTCCAATTTAGGGTTTTTTCAAACTTGGCTTTCCTAAAAATGAACCTTAGGAGTTTGTGATTCTCCCAAAAATAGCATGCAAAAATGTGTAAGAGTGCTCAGACACAAAAACAAAAGTACATTACAGTCTGTGGAGACCTGTCCTTAGCTTTCAATAAATCCTCAGAGTGGTCTTTGACCAAAAGAAGGGCAGGAATAAGGGTTTACCTGAAGACATAATTCATGGGAAAGGTAGGGGATTAGATGAAATAATTGCTGAGGTTTTAGCTAGCACCTAGTAAGGCAGGTAGAGAAAGAATTTTCTCCACTTTGTATCTAGAAATATTGGAATTCAAAGGACTCGGCTGCCCTGCAGGTTCATCTAATGGGTGATGGGTGTGAGCCCTGAGCTGGTGTCTAATCCCTGCTCTTCTTTCTGTAGCCACGGTAGGGGCAAATTTCGAATTCACGTATAAAATCTGCCTCATCAGTATAAGTTTTTGTCTTAAATTTGCCCTTCCCTACTTTGTTGCCGAAATGTGGCCTACTCCCTGTTTCAACCAAAACATAATCCCCTAGAACAGATGGTTCTTCACATCCTGTTGGGAAGAAGTCTAAGCCATTTACTTGGATAAAGGATGCCAGGTCACACCTATTCCTCTTCGCAGCCTTTGGTATATATTTCATGGATTAACACATACTTCCAGGAACCCTTATTTAGGTTGGAAACTGTTTCCTCCTGTCCTAAGGAATCTGACCTATCTCCAGAAATTATCATCAGGAAAGCCATTGCTTCTAGGTGAATTCCTTACCTGAGATTTCCATGTAAGTACATTCAGCCTACCCCATACATTTGCATAAAACTCAGTTGGGTAGCCTAAGAGTGTTAGCCAGACCAGCAATGCTATATCTGGCAATCCCATGGTGGGCATTTGAGGTAAATCTCATCTTCAGCTCCTGATAGCTCAGCTGAGAGGGGCAGCTCTTTCTCCCCTCTTAGTACTCAATACTGGTAAACTTAGCTTTCCCAAATGTATAGTTTCTCTAACAGCTATTAGAAACATTTACCTTTCTCTACACTGGTAAGATTTGTGCTAAATTTCCTGTTATGTCTTAGGGTTTTTTTTGGTAGGGAGGAGGGCTCTGATTTTCAGGTGGGATGGCAAAGTTGGACACATGATCTACCCTGTACTGAGTCTACTATGTGCTATCACTGGGAATACAGACAGATAGGAAGGCCTGCCTTCAGTGAGTTCACAGGCAAGCTGGTGAAGAAATACTTAAAATTATATAGTGCTAGGATTAAATCTGTGCAGAAAGGCAAAGAGGTAAATAGCAAGATAGGTTCATTAGGACTCTTGGTTGCAAATGATCAAAACCCAACTTGTAGCTTGAGCAAAAAAGGGGAAAAACTGCTCATGTAACAAAGTAGTACTATCTTATAGCCTAGTTGAATCCATTGGCTTAAACTGTGTCATCTATTTCCCCCAACTCCCTAGTTCTTTCTTTTCCTTCCCTTCTATTTCTCACCTGGTTTCTCTCCTTGCCCTGTTCTCTCCCCCTGTCCGGTTTCTTTTTACCCTCTATCTAGTCTGTTCCTTCCTTCATCTTCCTCTCCTTTCTCTCTCCTTATCTTTCCCACCTATCCGCGTGGAGAAAAGTTTTAAACTTTCTTCTTTACAGAAAGAGAGACTCTTTTTGCTAGTGTCCACATAAAAATTTCATGGAAGGAATAAAAATTTCAAGTCTGCTTAAGTTACCTGCCCTCCCGCTGTGATCAGCGGGTAGCGAGGGATTGAACGGCTGGAACACATAGGATGAAAGGAGCCCTTCCTTAGTGGAAGGAGAGTTCTAAGCAGACATAAACATGTCTGTTTAATGGAAGATGCAAGAAGGCTTCATAGAGGATGTATTTAACTTGCATCTTTAAATATGAGAAGTATTCACAAAAACAGTGAGAGGCATAAAATAGCACTGAATATTTGGGAACATGGGACATCTCAAATGGGACTGAAAAAAATGAGTGCCCCCAAATGTATAGGAGAGACATAAGATGCTTCAGCAAGGATAACACATGTCTGAAGAAATCTTAACTCACAAAGCAATGGAGTTTTTATCTATAGGTTCAGTTTGGTATATGAAAATAAATACTGATTTGTGCCTAGCATTGCAAGTACATATTTTAGTGGATTCCAGTGCCACTACTGGGATCCGATACCAATTCTCCAGCCATGGAGGAGAAACACCAGAGTGCTGGAAAACCACTGACAAGTTTTATTTACCTTCAACACAAGCTTTTTTTTTTTCTTTTTTGGAGAGGGCATCTCTCATATTTATTGATCAAATGGTTGTTAACAACAATAAAATTCTGTATAGGGGATTCAATGCACAGTCATTAATCAACCCCAAGCCTAATTCTCAACAGTCTCCAATCTTCTGAAGCATAACGAACAAGTTCTTATATGGTGAACAAGTTCTTACATAGTGAATAAGTCCTTACATGGTGAACAGTGTAAGGGCAGTCATATCATAGAAACTTTCGGTTTTGATCACGTATCATGAACTATAAACAATCAAGTCAGAATGATTATTCATTTGATTTTTTTTTAAAGTTAAATTTGCACTTCTTTTATTATGAGTGAGTTCTGGCTTTTTTTCATATGCTTAACAATCATTTAAATTTCTTTTTTTTGCAACATAAGCATTTTTAATTATACGTTTGTGGCCTGGAGGGTTTCTAGACCATGCAATAAACATCATGAATCAGAACAATTAGAATAAAGTGTTCATCTTGCCAGAGAGTTTAATGCTGGCCCTTGTTTTCATGTCAGTAGGGGGAGAAACATTTGAAAGGGAATGAGGTTTGCCAATTAGCTGTAGTTCTGTCTTTGGAGATCTTGAACCTGGCTTGTCATTAAGAAATTAACTCCACCCACTAAAAGGAATATATTTGCTAAGGGTGATCTCTGTGCTTCTGAGCGGAGGGGAAGGAAATGTAGTGATTTCATCTCTTCTTTCCTTCCTCTGCAGCTGCATTGAGCTGGGGGAAAGGCCTGAACTGGCACTAAGTCAGCCTCTCCCCATTCCCTCCCCGACCCTGATGTCCAGCTTCCTCCAGTGAGCAGGGGCAGGGAGGAAAGAAAGAACGGGGACAAGAGCCTCTTTACAAATGGGCTCCCACTAGGTCCTCTCATCTGACCGTCTCTGCCTTTCTAGCCCATCTTGACTGCCAATGCTTTCTGCATAGCAGGCATCCAATCCTCCTCTTTCTCGAGCATATGTGAGAGTTCTTTGGAGTGCTTCCCTTATACAATGTAACAGTTTTTTGTGGAGACCAAGCTTCCTCCTCCTCTCCCTCCCACAACTCCTTCCAAGTGTCACCTCCTCTCTCCATCTGACATCTCTCCAATTCACTTCTCTCTGTGCTCAGCTAAGTACAGAGTAGAGTAGGTCAGCCAATTCTCTGCATAATCAGACATTGGGCAACCTAAGGAATTGTCCTTATTGGCATAATGTGTATAGTACAATTCAGTTTATGTAACACTGTAATTATACTGTCTGGAAGAATCTTACTAAAATGGTGTAGTGATAACCCTTGGTGGGAAACGAGGGCCTGGTTTTACTTTCTCCTTTATTATTATTTAAAGTGATGGTATTACTAGGAAAATTTCCTTAATTTCTAAAGAATACAAATTCCCTATATTAAAAAGATCACTTCCCAAATACAGAAAAAGATAATATGGTTTTGATCACAGAAACTACCAGCACACAGTAGATATAGCTACCTCATGGGATGGCAGCCAGGCACCCATGACGGTCCTTGTCTAGGCCACAGCTGTACAATTTAGTTTGAGCTCTTGGCAAAAATTGGTCAAAGAACAGTAAGATGCCTACTCAAGATAGGCCAATCAAATTCTTTTTTCCTGTAATTAAATTAATACTTATATTTTAATAAAATATACAGATCTTAAATGTACAATTTGTTGAATTTTCACAATGCATACATTTGTGTAACCAACACCCCACTGAAGATTTAGAATATTTCCATCACTGAAAATAACCCTCATCTCCACTTCTAGTCAGTCCCCACCCAGGACAGGCAACCACTGTTCTGATTTCTATCACCATAGCCTAGTTTTATCTGTTCTTCATATACATGAAATTATACTGTTTATATTTGTGACTTGCTTTTTACACACAACATTTTTGAGAGTCATCCAGATTTTTATGTGACTCAGTAGTTCATTCTTTTTATGGCTGAGAAATATACCAGTGTATGAATATATTACATTATCTATTTTGGTATTGAAGATCATTTGGGTTGTTTCCAGTTTGGGGCTATTATGAATAGCCGTTACAAATATCTTTTCACAAGTCTTGTTGTAGACATATGTTTTCCTTTTGGAAGGGAGAATACTTGAAATTGAGGATTTGAAATAGAAGAGAAGTAGATTTAACTTTATAAGAAACCTAAAGAGTGATCCAAAGTTATTGTGTAATTTTACACACCCACAAGACATGTATGAGAGTTCCATTTGTTCTGCATCCTTGCTACCATTTGGGGGTGTTAATCATTTTCATTTTAATCATTCTACTAGGTGTGAAGTATCTCATGGTTTTCATTTGCATTTCTCTGATGACTAATGATGTTAAGCAACCTTAAAAAATTTTTTTATTGAAGTATAGTTGATATATGATACTATATTGATTTCAAGTATATATACAACATAGTGATGCAACAGTTATATACATTATTAAATCCTTATGCCATCTAGTGTAGTTACTCTCAACACAGAAAGATGTTATAGAACTATTGACTGTATTCTCTATGGTATACTTTCATCTCCATGTCTAATTTATATTATGATTGAAATTTTTGTGCCCCTTTATTCCTGTCATCCTCCCCGTGACCCACATTAACTCCTCCCTCCAAGTAACCACCAGTCACTTTTCAGTGTCCCTGAGTTCGTTGCTATCGTGTTCATTTTGTTTTGTTTTGTTTTTGGATTCCACAAATAAATGAAAAAGACAAATATTTGTCTTTTTCCACCTGGCTTATTTCACCTAGCATAATACCTTATGTGTCCATCTATGTTGTCACAAATGGCAGGATTTCTTTCTTTTTAAGGGCTGAATAATATTCTGTTGTGTATGTATACCACATCTTCTTTATCCATTCATCTATTGATGGATACTTTGGTTGCTTCCTTATCTTGGTTATTGTAAATAAGTGGTGGTAAGCATAGGGGTGCATATATATTTTCAAATCAGTGGTTTTCTTTTCTTCATGTAAATCCCTCAGTGGAATTACTGAGTTGTATGGTATTTCTGTTTTTTATGTTTTTGAGGAATATCCATACTGCTTTCTATTAGCAGTATAAGAAAGTATCCTTTTCTCCACATCCTTGTCAACACTTGTTATTTCTTGTCTTTTGGATAGTGGCCATACTGACTGGTGTGAGGTGATGTCATGTCGTAATTTTGATTTTCATTTCCATGACAGTTTGCAAGGTGAGACTTCTTTGCATGTGCCTATTGGCCATCTGGATGTCTTTGGGAAAATTTCTATTCAGGTTCTATGCCTATTTTTTAATCAAGTTATTATTATTATTATTGTTTTGGTGTTGAGGCATATGAGTTCTTTATATATTTTGGATGTTAATCCTTATCAGATATAGCATTTATGAATATATTCTCCCATACTTCAAGTTATCTTTTTTTGTTCTGATTATTGTTTCCTTTGCTGTACAGAAGGTTTTTAGTTTGATGTATCCCACTTACTTAATTTTGCTTTTGTTTCCCCTGCTCAAGGAGATCTGTCCAGAAAAAAATCACTCACATTTATGTTCATGACATTTTTGCCTGTGTTTTCTTCTAAGAGTTTTATGGTTTCATGTCTTATAGTTAGGTCTGTAATCCATTTCAAGTTTACTTTTATGTATGGTGTTAGCAAATAATCCAGTTTAATTCTCTTGCATGCAGTTGTTCAGTTTTCCCAACACCAGTTATTGAAGAGACAGTCTTTTTCCCATTGTATTTTCAGTCTATATTCATAGATTAATTAGCCATTATGCATGGGTTTATATCTGGATCCTCTATTCTGTTCCATTGATCTATGTGTCTGTTCTTGTGCCAGTACCTCACTGTTTTGATTACTGTAGCTTTGTAGTCAGGGAGTATGATACACACCCCAGCTTTGTTTTTCTTTTGCAAGATTGCTTTGGCTCTTTGGGATATTTTGTGGTTTCATACAAATTTTAGGATTATTTGCTCTAGTTCATTGAAAATTCCATTGGTATTTTGATAGGGATTATATTGAATCTTTAAATTGCTTTGGGCAGGATTGCCATTTTGACAATATTAATTCTTCCCATCCATGAGCATGGGACAGATTTCCATTTATTTGTGTCTTTAATCTCTCCCATCAGTGTCTTATAGTTTTCAAAATACAGGACATTTACCTCCTTGGTTATGTTTATTCCTAGGTATTTTATTCTTTTTGATGCAGCTGTGATGGAATTTTTTTCCTGATTTTTGTTTGTTGTTAGTTTGTTGTTAGTATATAGGAGTGCAGCAGATATCTGTATATTGATTTTGTATCCTGCAACTTTGCTGAAACCAGTTATTAGTTCTAATAGTTTTTGGTGGAGTCTTTAAGGTTTTCTATGTATAGTAACATGCCATCTGCAAATAGTGACTGTTTTACTTCTTCCTTACCAATTTGGATGCCTTTTATCTCTTTTTCTTGTCTGATTGTCATTGCTAGGACTTCCAGTAATATGTTGAACACAAATGGTGAGAGTGGGCATCCTTGTCTTGTTCCTGATCTTAGAGGAAAAGCTTTCAGCTTTTTACCACTGAGTATGATATTAGATGTGAGTTTGTCATATATGGCCTTCATTATGTTGAGGTTTGTTCTCTCTATATTTTGTTGAGAATTTTTGTCATGATGGATGTTGAATTTTTTCAAATGCTCTTTCAGTATCTATTGAGATGATCATATGGTTTTTATCCTTTTTGTTAATGTGGTGTGTCACGTTGACTGATTTACAAATATTGTACCATACTTGCATCCCTGAAATAAATCCCACATGATTGTGATGGATGATCCTTTTGATGTATTTTTGAATTGAGTTTGCCAGAATGTTTTTGAGGACTTTTGTATCTTGTTCACCAGGGATATTGGTCTGTAATTTTCTTTTTCTGAATTCTCTATGACTGGTTTTGGTAATAGAGTGATGCTGGCCTCATAGAATGAATTTGTAAGTATTCCCTCCTCTTTTATCTTTTGGAATACTTTAAGAAGGATGGGTATTACCTCTTCTTTAAATATTTGGTAGAACTCAGCTGTGAAGCCATCTGGTCCAGAGATTT